TGAAGGGATTTAATCCAAACTTTCTTTATTGTGAATTGAAAGAATGTTTCCAACTACATGCAGATATATGACATATACATTTCCAAACATACAGGTGCAGATGCTGCAAAAATGCAAATATAGAGAAATTGCAGTCAGATTGCCCAATTTACAATCAGTCTTTGTAAATTCCACCGCTTTGTATGATTATAGCAGGAGAGCGGGAAAGCATGGGACAACCTGATTTTTCTCTCTCTTGTGAGGACAGTTAGTGTACTGGACATCCTGCGAGGCGGGGGGAGTGAATATCCTTGCCGTTGTCAGCAAACATGTGCAGATTTGATATAGTTGCTCCTGGCACAGGAGGAGGTGAGTATACAGAAGGGGTTAATTTGGGGTTAGTTTACCTTAATGTTAGGAATCTGAGCATTGGGGGGGTCAATATCCTAGCTGCAAACATGTGTCAGATTTGGTAAAGTTCAGTCCAGTGGCCTTGATTTATTTTTTACTGCTATACCATGACCTGGATGAATGAGAACCTTCACAGACACGTTAGGGGTTTGGGTTTTCGTAGTGTGAAGAGTGTGGATTGGTATTTGTAAAGGGACCACTTTGGGGATAGGTTAAGTGTTAGGGTCAGGTCAGTGGTTAAAGTCTAAGAAGGAAGTCATAGGTTATGTGCTAAGTTTTGATAGGTAGGGTAGGAGTTACAGCATACTTGTGAGTATTAGTGTGAGTGTAGGGGGCTCAGGGAGGAGAGGGTTAAGCGTTGGGAGTGATTTACTATAGATCAGGGGTAGGCAACCTCGGCACTCCACCTGTGGCGAAGCTACAAATTCTATCATGCCTCTGGGAGTCATGCCTGTGGCTGTCAGGGTCTGGCAATGCATCATGGGACTTGTAGTTTCATCACAGATGGAGTGCTGAGGATGCCTGCCCCTGCTATAGAGAATAGTTTGGAACTTATTGGAACTTCAAGGTTTCCACTTATTCTCAGTGCAGAGATCTTCACACTAAAAATCTACCCGTGCCCAAGCTCTCCATGTTCAGAACCAACATATCACACCCCACAGAACCATGCAGAACCTATAAATGTTGGAATCTGGGTAAATCCCCTTTGAGGTATGGATTCTTCTCAATGTGCTGCATCCAAAACAATGGACTGTGGTGGAGTCTTCCTTTACTATAACTCCCACCTGTGACCTCTGTGGTCTTCGTGTTCTTCAGGCACCCTAGTGATGAGAGTAATAGCTACCGATGCCGATGACCCAAAGACGGACAACGCTCAACTCAAGTATTCCATCGTTCAGCAGGAGAGTCCGGGAATGTTCAGCATCAACCAGGATACAGGAGAGATCAGAACCGTTCAAGTGGGCCTGGACCGAGAGGTAATAACTATAGTCGGGGTCCCCTGTACAGAGCGGAGGGTTGGCTGACCCTATCGGAGTACTGCCTATATATTGATGCGATAGGGACTCACTATGTGGCCTGGTGGTGCTGCTACTCTGGTTTCAGTTGTCAGCTGCCAAGTAGGTGCTTCATGTGTTATTTTCGGATCCTCGCAGACCCATAGTCCTCCCAAATAACATACAACTGATCTTCACCAAAATGTAGCTTTAGTCTGCGTATAGCTGTATTAGGAACATGAGACTGATGAAAATGGCTCCGTACTCTCTGTGGAATATGTCGGCGCTATAAATGAATTCCTCTCTTTGTCTCTACAGTCAGTGGGGTCATACAACCTTACTGTCCAAGTGGCCGATATGATGGGGGAAGGGCTCTCCAACACCGCCAGAGTAACCATATCCATAGGAGACCTCAATGACAACGCTCCGGAGTTCACGCAGAGCGAGGTAAGGCAGAACGCACCTCACACTTGAAGCCAATGTCTATGCTGCTGTTTTAGTTTCTGCTTTAAAGCTGAACTCCAGGTGGACATAGAAGACACGGAATATTGCAGCTCTGTTATCATGACATGTATATGTTCAATGCGAGCAGTGTCAGTACCTGAACCTGACCCGGTATCAGCCTCTTGTACTGAACAGCAGGGCTGGAGTGTGAGAGGAAGAAGCAGTACAAGGAGCCAATCAGTGAAAGTGCTGACAAGAAGCATGCTGTCGCCTCACCACGTGTCACCTTACATGTGTCATCCTTACCACGTGTCACCTTACATGTGTGATCCTCTCTACGTGTCACCTTACATGTGTCATCCTCACTACGTGTCACCTTACATGTGTCATGCTCACCATGTGTCACCTTACATGTGTCATCCTCACTACGTGTCACCTTACATTTGTCATCCTCACCATGTGTCACCTTACATGCGTTATCCTTACATGTGTCTTACTCACCATGTGTCACCTTACATGCGTTATCCTTACATGTGTCTTACTCACCATGTGTCACCTTACATGCGTTATCCTTACATGTGTCTTACTCACCATGTGTCACCTTACATGTGTCACCTTACACGAATCATCCTTGCCATGTGTCACCTTACATGTGTCATCCTTGCCATGTGTCACCTTACATGTGTCATCCTCATCATGTGTCACCTTACATATGTCATCCTCACATGTGTCATTTTACTGTTTTGCGCGTGTAGTTCCTCCTGGAGGTTCCTGAACAGACCAGCGACGTGGATGTCGGCAGAGTGGGCGTAACAGACCGAGACCTCCGCGGCTCCCCCAACTGGCTGGTGCAATTCTCTATCACTGCTGGGGACCCCCAGGGTGCCTTCTCGATTCGTACAGACCCCCAGACCAATGAGGGAATCCTATCTGTTGTCAAGGTAACGGCAATGTCTAAACTTAGAGTTGACTCCCTGGCCGTACATAGGGTCATGTCTGGTGTCATTATATGTGCTATACTGTTTTTTTCAGGCAGGGGTCAGGGCAATTG